ATAGAGAAAATTAAAATAAAATTGTGATAAAAAAAAGTCTTATAAATCTAAACCACGCAGAGTATATCTAAGAGTGCTCTGAGAGATATGAAAAAAATCAATATTGGTTCCATTAGCCCTAATGCAAGCCAACGCAGAATAAACTAATTTTATAAATTCTAACCCAAGCCACAGGGCTGACAATACGTCAGAACATGCAAACAGATGTGTTCACAGTGGACCCTGCATTTTTTTACCATCATGTTTTGCTTCTGTGCACATGCAAGATTTTTTGTTCGACTAGATACGACTGGCATACTCTGAGTTAGAGGTAAGAAATTCATTATTTTTATGTGGGAGGTTTTATATGATATCAACTAGTAAATTTATCAGACCTGTTACATGATTCTTTGATTCAGCTGTTCGGATTGGCTTTGTATAAACTATAAGAATTCCAAGAATCTAGAACTATTGTCTTCGATTTTCTATGAAAATAAAAAAATCAATCATAGACCTGCCGCTTTCATAGCTACTGATTTGATAGGAATAAGAATAATGATATTTAGCTGTTTTTTTTTCTAAACAATGTTAAAATATTTAGGTAGCAACTATTGCAAATCATTGATGCGAATTACTTTGGATGACAGGTAGGTAATCAATTTTTTACGCAGTATACGCTGATCACACTCTTCATTACTGCTTCACTTCACTATTTCATCTTCACCAAATTTTCTATGGTAAATCAATATTATCATTTTTGATATAGTACAATATGGTACACTATAGTACATTATAGAATCACGGAGCATCTGGAGCTGACATATCTAAAGTCTTTAAAGATTTAATAATTATATTACCATGTCATGCCTTTGCTAATTCGTTTTTATTCGTCTTTCCAACGTTCCTTAAGAACATTCCTCACGAATAGTAATTGATGGTTCTCAATTGGACACTTTTATCATCAACGCCAGCGTCCCCTTTCATACATCAATCTATTGCAGAAGACCAAAAATCGAATATACTGCTTTGTTGTAAGTTCTTCCATTCTGACAAGAAATATTATGTCTTGATGAAGGTCTGGAGAAGATTTTGGTTTGCTGCGACAAAAACCAAGTAGAAACTGCTGCCAATATATAATTTCATCTGGAAGTTTTTGTGTTTTCTGCCTTTTTCGTGAATCACTTCTTCACATGATAAGTCTTCCAGCTTACTTTCTGTCCAGGATCGTTGATATTGAGGAGAACCGAGTTCCAAATAGTGTTGTCTACTAATATGAAAGCATTTTCTCTGAAAAGGATTTTGTACAATAAATATTGATTTCCGATGAACAACCATGGAAAAATATTAAGGTACAATTGAAGATAATGGGATATTAGTGCAGTGATGCTTCTGATTATGAATGGTCAATATAAAAGCTCTCATTTTTCTCACACCTACACTTCAGTAAATAAGAACAGCTGGTGATGATTATTGTATATGTTGGAGAAACAGTTCTGGTTAGGTTAGTTGGACACTTTCCATAGGTGTATTTAGAGAACAAACTTTGAATACTTGTTCGCTTATTGGTGACACATGAGAGAAAAGACTATGTCCATATAGACCATTAAATCATGATAGTATGTTCATGTGTGGTTCTGACACGTACCTACTTTCTTTGAAAAAAATCATTGTCTGGGGTTGGAATAAACTTTCTTATCATTCGTGAGGAATGGAGAATCAGTTAAGATAATGAATTCTCTTGTCAAATACGCAATAGATTCTTCATGTTTTTTGATTGCATTGATTCACAAACTGTTCACACAAAATATTGTATTTACAGCGCATACGATTTACATAATTTAGCATTGAGTGTTTTGTCCTTGGCGAAACACTAATCCCCAACATTTTGGCATCCAAGGTCATTTCGACCATGGAAGTACCAATCAGAGAAACAGTGAAATCCTTGAACGACATTTCCAAATGATTCATCAGCCCTTCTTGAGACGGATCATATACATTATTCCTTGTGAAAAGGATCCTCAGGCTTTAATGCAAATCTACTAGCTGAACACTATAATCCACAATACCGGAAATTACTTTTCGACAGCAAAATTTGAAACAGCTCAATATCAACAAAGCGTATGGCCCTGCTGAAGAGCCCGTCATCTTACTTGAAGAGTTATGTCTTGGCACAATCATGTCGCTGGAATTGCAAAGGCTGCTTGGAACACTGTTCTGAACCAAGAGAATGATCAAACTGTTTGATCTTTCTCTTGAAGATGATCATTTGGTGATCGAAACACGTGTCGAGGTGTTAAAATAATGGTTTGATGTTGGAAAAAAACTCTAGTAATATTTAATACTTCACCAAAGGTTCCAAACAGTGCATCACAAGATTTCTGTGATGATTGCTATGATCAGGAATTGAAATGACATATAGTCGATTCGAAGGCCTATAATCATTGAAGAAGGACCTCTATCATTCCATTCAATACTATGATTAAATCACAATATGAAAAGATCATTGTCCATATGAAAATAAGTATTGGCAGTTGGCAAAACATGAAAAAAATACTAAGATCTGTCTTGAAAACGATTCGAATCTCATTGAAAAGCAACGGCTCACCCTTTTTGTCCTTTTAATTGAAATATTTAAACAGAAAGTTATCAATAAGTAGAACATGAAACGAATGTTTACTTTTGTCGTTATTTCAGGTCCTGAATCCAAAACGAGTGACAAATCATCTACTCCAACAACTGGAAAGGTAACTAAAACTGCAAGAAAAAGCAGGCTTCTTCGTGAACTTGAAGCAGATAAGGAATATTTGGATAATTTGTTACATAATCCGAATATCAAATGCAAGTACAAGGAAAACAACAATACCGTCGAGAAGTGTATCAAAGAGACCGTGGAATATTTGAACGAAAGGCAAGAGTTTTGGAGGCAGCAGTTACCACCAAATTTGAAGTAGAATATTGTTTATGACATAGTTGGTGCTTTCCGCATAACCTGTCCTGCTAGTAGTTGGTGTTCAAGGAGAATCGGTTTGAGATAAAAGAAGATAATTGCATTGTAATATTTCTTGAAAATATTCCCGAGTGGAAACATCATAATTCGGGTTTGAATTTTCCATTCGTTTAAAAAATAATACACTGTATGGTAAACTGTTGTTCGATCAACACATTTAGAAAAAAAGTATTAGTTTTTTAGCAAAGATACATCTGAGTGGATTTTTTTCGTTGTTCTAGATACATTATAGCCTCAGGGATCCTATTTCAATGAGAATATATTTTCAAAGCTATGTTTATGGCTACAAACTTCCACTTTGCTTCACTAAACATCTGATTCAATAGGAGTTGTACCTAGTGAAAAATAATAAATTCATTATCTACAAGTATTGTTTTTTCCGCAACAGAATATTGTAAGAATAGCAAAACCCTTTTGAGAGATTACCCATTTTTGTGTCCAGAATAATTTACAATTGAAAATCTTCAATCTTTGACATTTGCCGAGAAGCCTCGATGCTAAAACACGTCACGAATATTGAAGATGTTTACTTGGATATAGTAGATGTAGAACATCTGTCGAGTTTTTCATTGTTTTTTTATAGTACTTTGTTCAAAATCTGTACTATAGTTCGTTTAGTATTGTCTGAGAGTAAAAGAATTTCAAGAATGCAAACATGTCGCTACATCAACATAGTCGTCTCAAGCAAATAGCACTTCGATGAATCCTTTAACTTGAGCCCAAACCAACTCTATTGGATTCAATTCACAGTGATAAGGAGGCAACCGAAAAACCGACATTCCTTTAGTCTTCGCCATCTCATTGGTGACATACCTGACGAATTTTGACTTATGACGTTTAGCCAAGTTGAGAAGCTCCACTTTTAACATGGTCGATTCAAAAAGAATAGGTTTCATTCCAACACAACGTCGGCAGCTTCTCGACTCGTCTACTGTGGTAACTTGCGTTATCCATTACCATTACGGATTCCTGCGGAAGTTTTACAAGTATGTTTTTAAACCATTTTTCGAATACTGTGGCATCCATTTTTTGATGATAATCCCAATTTTTCTTCGATTCAAACAACATCAATCCATCTTTCACGAATCCTTCACTTCTGCCTATGTGAGTGATGATAAGACTACGACCTTTTCAAACCAGTGGACCAACCTTCCATAAAGGCTTGTCTTCCACTTTTGATGTTCTGATCTGGCCAAACCAAATAAAAAATAGATTTACCTTGTGCTATGGCTTTCTTTATTTCTTTCGAATAGTATCTTCTCCATTCAAAAATCTCTGATTTTTCTATTAACATGCTCTTTCTATCTTTCTTTCCAAATGTGAAATTCAGCTCATGTAATATCTTCCATAATCGAGTTATTCTTATATTAGGAAAAAAAGTGCCTTGACGAATAACTGACAAAACCTTATTCAATGTAGGTCTTTGGTTTTTTATGTAAGATGTGTGTACTGTTCTCCTAATAGAATTCTTCACTTCTTCATCGATAACCAAACGCTTTCTACCAGTGGATACTTTCGGCTCGAAAAAAGTTGTTGTTTTCCTTGAGTTCCTTGGGAATTCTAAAAATTGTCGATCTATTGACACCGATCATACTCGCGCATTTTTGCACTACTTCCTCCTTACTTTTTATTTCGGTCGGATATTGTTCACTTAACTAATTATATACTTTCATAATAATTGTTTTTTCACTTATATTTAATGGTGACAATTTCGGACGCTTCACGGTTCCCAAAAAACTAGCTTCCATGCTGTATAGCTGTTTATTCAACACGCTCTGAAAGTAAACTGAAGAATATCACGAATAATCCCACTAAAAAGCTAAGTCGGTCTTATTGATGGGTGTGATGTGTCTGTTGACAGTATAATTCAAAAGAATACCTATACCTAAATACCTATTTGTTGGAGATGTCTTGGTTACTACTGGACATATTTTAACATTTTTCATAGTAGATTTGTTATTTTGTTATTTTGTTTGCTGTGAATGATATTTTGCAAGAATAAATATCGTATTTTCGTCGTATAAATTCATTTATTCAATTCGTTGAGAGTAAATAATTTGAATTCAGTAAGGTGTTTTTTATCCATCCGTGAACCAACAACTATCTGCTCTTAATATTTCCTTATCCCGGAGAATCCAGTTCTCTCTATTCGCGAATAGTACTTAATAAGGTAGTTCGTAGTTGACAGTTGGAGGCATAAAATTAGAGGCCATTTCCAGAATTCTGTGACTTCCAATGTCAACCAACAGTCTATTGCACTCTGCATTGAATTGATTTATGCAATTGGTAATGTGCACAAGTCTGTCTGCAGTCAATCTAGTCTCTCTCTCCAGATAAATGTGGAGAGGAGGTAGATCTAGAAGGATCTCCATAGCGGCTGACGGTGTGGTACTGATGGCACCACTGATAGCCAGACAAGCCTGTCTCTCTAAGCCAGAGAGCTTCGCTCGAGCCGTTTTCTGTAAAGCCTTCGGCCACCAAGCAATTGCACCATGAGTGATCATTGGTCTGTCACATGAATCCAAAGGATTTGTTTGGGACCTAAACCCCACAAATCCTCCGACATGTCCATAGAGACAGTCTGGCTTTGTGTAAAACTTTTTCCAAGTGAGTTTTTCAGGTGAGTCTTCTAACAAGGACAATGCCAAGATATTTCACCTCCGTTCCAAAAGGAATGACCAAACCATTGAGGGAAAGTGGCGTTAAATCGTCCAATTTTCTTCTCTTGGTGAAGGGGATTAACACAGTTTTGCTGATGTTGACAGACATGTGCTCTCACAGGCACCAACTGTGATGACAAAGTCATCTGCATAAGCTTGCAGATCAACTTTTCTTCTGTCGAAGGCATTAATCAGACTATCCATCAGGAGCGACCACAGAAGGGGAGATAGTAACCCACCTTGAGGGCAGCCCCTGGTGACCCTGAACCTGATTGCCTCGCCTTGAAGAGTCGTAGTTGCAGTTCTGTTTACTAGCATGGCATAGATCCAGCCAGTTATGGTCGATTCTTTACTCTTCCTAGCCAGAAACAATCCTATAGATTTAGGTAGTGCATTGTCAAATGCTCCTTCAATATCAAGAAATACAGCAACCGCTGTACGTTGCCCGCGAAATTTGAACATTCACGTTATTTTTTTTAACAGTCACGGAATATCACGTCAGAGACAGAACAGACTGTACTGTACAGGTTTCTTACCTTTTGTGATCTAGTTTGCATAAAACATGACGAGATGTCTCTGCCCTGTCATTGTACTGCCTGCATCTGATGTCTCTATTATAAGGCCCTATTTTGTTCGAGAGTCTTTCACAAAGACAATGTCTACAGACCAATCCTGCAGTTATTCTGAACCAATTTTTGTTTCAAACCTGATGCCTTTCCATAGATTTCGAAATCCACTGACCGAACATATATACATAAAAACAAACATACAAAAACTCAAATCTTCTTTTTATGATGTTAGTTTAGAAGGCATGAATCTAACAACTGCCATTTAAATAACCCCGACTATTATTTCTTACGGTAATATAATCAATGTATTCCTTTGTTTGACGTTCAAATTATATAATCTGAGTGTCACCCACTCGGTTTATCCTTCTTTATACTGAATAGCCTGCCATCTATCGGGGCTATGAGTTATTAGTAACCACCCACTGGAAACCTACCAATAATAGCGAAAAAGCTTTTTTATTTCTCCAACAGGTGACGTCAAATAAACGATAGATCTCCTGCAGTTCAATTTATACTCAGCTAATGACTACTGACCTGAATATGAAAATTGTGAATGTTGAAGTTTGATATTTAAAAACTCCTGGAAGTTACTGATTTTATCGAAGGCACAATTGGGTAATGATAACGATGATATACGAACAAACAAACAAACTGATTTGAATTCCCCTCTACTTAATTTTTTCTCACCAGGAAACTATACATAGACTATGAAATATTATGATATTCATTCAACTCATTTCTCAAGAACTTAGTAATGTCTGGTGTTGAATCACGAGGTCATCTAGGCCTTGCAGTGGAAGTTACAGTAGAAGACAGAAGACAAATCTCGTTTGGCGGTGGATGTGAAAGCCTTGCTTTGCAACTGACCGCCTTGGGTAGCCTCGTTCATCTTTATTATTCGTTTTCTGTCAATTCCATAGATGGATGGGCTAGAACTCAGAAAACATTCACTTATTGGCCTCTTCCTTCAACAGTTCAAATTATAAACTAACGTTTCTAAGTGGACATTTCACATTAAGTAATCTTCAATACACCTGCAGGAACTGAATATTGATCTAGATTTTTTTATTTTTCATATTATGGAAGGTTCGAAAACCGATTTCAATCGGATTCAAATCGCCGTGGCTTACAGAACAAATAATAATTTGAGAAAATTTATTTAAAACAATAAAGACCAATCTTCAGTGTGGAATTGATCAGGAGTATATAAGTTGGCTTGTGATTCTTGCTCAAAACTTTATATTGGTCAAAACGGGGAAAACTTTGTTCTGATGCATTGAGTATAGAAGTAGTTTTGTAAATGAAAAGGCCAATTCCACCTTTTAGCAGGACACAAGTTCAATCATAAGTATGACGTGACATTCAGAAGATGAAATTTTGAAACCCAATCTTTTAGAATGTTTAGAAACAAATAGATTCAAGAATTCCGACCATTTACTGAATTACAAAATAGATTCAAATAACTTCCCGTCACTGAATATTTTTTCAAATGTGGAAACTGGTAATTGACTGATATATAAGCTGAGGTGATTTTAATCATTACATGTTTATTTAAATAAGTTTGTGCAGTTTCCCTTCATTTTTTAGGTTTACGTTAATCGATTCATTCTCAAACTGAGGTACACATTTTTTACATCAATTTACATTAATTCAAATTGTGAACAAGCATTGAATATTTAGATTTTAGTTATAGACACGCCTGAAGAAGTTATTTTATAGCGAAACCCATGGTGAGCTCCGATTTCAATGCCATATTGTATTTTTTTTATATAGTTAAAATCGGGAAGCGGAGACTATTATTTATATTGTTTGAACAATACGTATGATTAAATTGAAAGGGTTACATATTTGGGAATAAATAATTTATGAAAAAGTAAGTTTTTGGCTTTCTACTTGAAACAAAACGTATGGGAATCTTCCGAAGAAAAATGTGTAGATCAAGCAAAGTAACTTTGAGACAGAAACCAGAAGAAACAGCCCCCTGAAACAGCTATTTTCATATAAACATTGAATTATACGAAAAAAAAAAATACTGCCGAAACGAATACTTTTATATAAACGCTGAATTTTACGAAAA